ACTCAGGCGCAGAAACAGGACAAATAGCTCAACAGCCAACAAAGGTGAGGTCGCATAGACAACCTGTTCTGGGGGTGATCGTACATCTCGGCAATTTTTCGCTGCGGGATGCTTGACCATGGACTGCATCACTTTGCCTTTACTCGCCCCGTTCATAGATAGAGTTTTTTTTTGGAAAACCACATTTTTTTAGTTAAAAACCTACTTCCATATTCGTTCGTTACTGTATAAGTGATTGTTTTAGCAACGAGTGGTCACGGATCGCTTCGAGGAAGTCGAACTCGGACCCACAGATGTCACAGCTGTACCGCTAGCCAGTGCCTTGGATTCGCGTATAATGTACGTTGTAACTGATCAAAATTTCAAATTACGTCATAGTTTCCGCCGTAAAACACGACTAGGCGTCGAAATGTCGCATCAGGGTACGGTATCTTGTACTTTGAGTAGAGTGAAACCAGTTTTACTGTTCTGCCCAGTAACCTATTACTCTGGGACAACACGATTCCAGTTGAGAGTAGACTTGAAAATTAAAATCTCTGGATTTGGCAACTGTTTTCTCGACTTCTGCTCATGTTAAACTGTTCCAATTCAGCCGGAAAACCGAGACTTATGGTTCCCTGCCGGCTAGGGGAAGTTGAATCCACTCGCACAATTGTATACAGCCCATATTGCCGCAGTCAGTCGGGTCGGTCTCAATAGGAATGAAATGATCCCCTCCACGGCGTTCCCTCCACTGGTTGCTTTCTTGCTGGATCGGTCACTAACCAATCACCATTGGGGGGGGGGAGGAAAGGGACGGGGGGGCACATTCAGCTCCTCCTCATACCTCCACGATTGATTGCGACGTTTTCCACTGTAAATAAACCCAAGTTTCTCATGGACTTTCTACCTTTTCATTTTCAAGGATCTTTTCAGTTTTCTACGAAGGCTTCTGGATGAACTTCAGTCGGAAATCGAATCTCTACATCGGAAACAACAACACATACTGTCTTTAGCTATAGCTGACCCCAAAGAGAAGGTAGCACTCGAAAACTGAAGTTTTGTAAGGTTTATCAGAGGTCTGTTGACTGACTGGCCATACTTTTTAGGATGTACTCGAAGATCAAATCAGCAAAATCCGTCGGAAAACCTTCGACTTACGTAAAATGGTTAATGAAGTCGACAACGAGTTCAGCGAGTTCGCCAGAGGTAAGGGCTTATTGGGCAGTCCGCAGTGCTCGTAAGTCTGAAGAGAAAATCCTTTGTAAGGATGGAGCAAATACCATGGGAGTTATATTTTATGTTCAGTGTGTCCATCACAAGGAGAGGTTCGAATTCGGAAGAATCAGATAGACCTAATCCGCAAGAAATTACGCGACGTCATTATCCGTTTCAATGAAACTCATGCAGACTATCGATCAAGGGTCTCAGGTAAGTTATTCCTTAGTAAATTGGTTGTTACTCGTCATTTTTGTTGGTCTTAGCTTTCCATTTTTATTCCACCATCCTAACCTGGTTGAAGACACGTTTTGCAATTTCTAATGCTTGGGAATGCCGTTGAAATTGGAATGTGGAGGTTCTAGTCAACGTGCTAGTATAGGGAAGGTCAGAAGTAACAGTCAGAAACGCCTTGGATAAGACACTCGTCCTAGAGCATTGCGCGAGTATGCGACTAAGAATGACTACCTGTACAGGATAGAGCGCTGACAACCCGTGGAGAGGAAAAACATCCGCATTTTTCGTAACATATCCATAAAATTTAGTTCGAGTACGACGCCAGTTACGAGCAGTTGGCGAGAATATCACGGAGGAAGAGGCTGACAAAATTATCAACTCGGCCGGTCGTGATGAGGTATGCTTTTGTTATGATTTCCTTACGATTTCTGTAAAAAAT